TCGGCGTCGTCGTCGGCGGCGTCGCCGCCGTCGCCGTCGCTGGCTGCCGGCGCCGCCTGCGCTGGACCCTTCAGATTTTGGGAGGAAAAGGCACCCGACCTCCATAGTTCACGTTCACTCATCAGCCCCGCCCTGTCCGATTCCTGCCACGGGCGCGTTCACTCAACGGCTTCGCGTGTCGGGGTGCCAATTCTGAGGGCAGTCTTTCTGCTCTCTGCACGAGGAAGGCGACGAGCCCCGTGCCCAGGCGACGTGCCGGACAGCGCCGCCGCCGCCGCCGCGGCGCCGCCGCCCCCCGCAGCGCCGGGCAGCGGCACCGAGGCGGAGGTGGCGACCGCCAGCGCGCCGCAGGCCCGCTTCGCCCGCCGGCGGGGGCCCCTCGGCGGCCCTCCGCCGGCCCGCCGCGGGGGCCCTCGGGCGCCCCTCGGCGGGCCTCTCGCGGGGCCGTCGGAGGGCCCCTTCGCGGGGCCGACCGGGTCCCCTCGTGAGGCCGTCGGCGGCCCCTTCACGGGGCCGTCGTCGGCCCTCTGCCAGGCCCTCGGCGGGCCGCCAGCGGGCCCCCTCGGCAGCGGCGCGAGGGGCAGCCGGCCGCCGCATCGCAGGCCTGCGGGGCATCGGCGCCCTGTCAGACCGGGCGTCGAGGCCCTTGCCAGGTAGCAGGCGTCGAGCGGCGCGGAGGGCGCGGGGGGCGGCCGCAAATGGCCCGCGGGGGCGCGCCGAGGGCCCGCGGAGGCGCCGAGGGCCTCGGCCTCGAGGTGGCGAGGATCCAGGCTTCGAGGTGGCGAGGTTCGAGGATGGAGGCCTCGAGGTTCGAGGATCGAGGGCATCCAGCGTCACCCGCGGGGGCGCGAAGAGGATCGCGCTTCTCGAGTCGCAGTCTTCAAGGGCAACGTTAATTAGGCTCAAGGCATTTTTGGCTCAAGCCAAGGGTCACGCTGGGACACGTTCGAGATATTACATTCCCTGCATTCCCTACATTTCCCTACATCCCCCACGTTCCCCTTCTACTACCACGCAGGTGTCGATTGGCACGTGAGGATGCCGGCGATAAAACACCACGTGGGGACCCCAGTGAAGGGGGTTACTCAAATCAGCAGATAAAGTACCACGCACGGGAAGCTCACCACTCAAAGTTGACGAAGAGGGATTTCGAGCTATGCGAGAGCATTTCCAACAGCGTCTTGCTGGAGCTGGGGTGGCGAGCGGCGCCAGCATGGCTGGTTCAGCAGGGACGCTCGTCACCATGGAGGCCCTCGGCAAGCTTCTGAAGCAGGAGTTGCGGCCGATCCAGGTGGACATCGAGGCCATTGAGCCGCACGGAGTTTCCCAGAAGGACTTCTAGGAAACCGTGGACCTGCTGAATGCCGCGGTGGACGACATCACGAGGAGGGGCGAGGCGCTTGAGACGAACCCGTCCAGGCCAACTTCGGCGAGAAGCGCCTCTGCAATGTCTGCGCGATCGGGGGACATGGAGCTCGAAGCCAAGCTCCAGGACCTGGAGCGCCAAGTCTGAGCTTCGGAAGCTATCGGCACTATCGGAGGATACATTGATCATCGTGCTGGGCGGCTTACCTCACCCTACACTCCAAGAGGCAGAACATTGGGGCATGCTGTTGATCGAGCTCGGCACGGCCACGGCAGCACAGAAGGCGCAGACAGATTCGGAGGACCTCTGCTCCCAAATCGCAAAGCCTAAAGAGGGGAGCCGGCGGGCTTGGTGCAACCTTGATTGCCCGATCGAAGTTCGAATTGCCAATTCTTTGTTTTTGAGTTTGCGGCACTTGTTGTCGCAATGGGGGTTCGACAATTGATTCTCCAAGGTCGACACGGACAACGGTGGGGAAACTGTCATGATTGGAAAAGTTGCTAACCATGACTTTACCGCCCAATGGCCTGATCTGGATTGGCTTACGCGGGAATAGTTTCATAGATCGCAGGAGTGGGAAGACGTCCAGCACAAAGAAAAAAAGACCGTCTCGAGCAAAGCCGGGCTCGAATGATGAGCAAATGCGCGGGGAAAGGAAAACGATGGTGCCATGGGCGCAGGGCCGCGTCACCTTCCGGGACTCCTGCTTCCGGAAGATAGACCAGATCGACTTGTTTTTGGAAGGGCAAGCAGGGGAAATATACCACCTATTCTTCTGGGGCTTCAAACAGTCACAGTCGCGAGCCTCCGAAGCGTTTACTCTGCGCTACTTGGCGCGTTCGTGGCCTCACCGACCTGGAACTTATAGAGCTATTCCGCCACGCGGAAAAATGTGCTACCCATATCTTATGCACGCAGGAAAGACGGAATAAGAAAGTTAAGCATTAGGACGAAGAAAGCACAGGGGGCCGCATAATCTTTTCAGGTGCGGACGCGTTTGGCTTCATCGCTTCGCCAAACCATGCGCCCTTCATCAAATCGGAAAGGCAAATCTCATACATAATGGCACAACTCAAAATCAAGATCGGTTTTCGCGCGTTCGTGATCTTCTGCGCGCGCGCCCCCCACAATCTGAACGCCTTGCCGGAGGGGCGAGAGTCCTGGAGAGCCCGGGGCTCCGAGTTCCGCATCTGCTCAGCGACGGCCGGTGAAATCATCGCGAGGGACACGAGTGCGAGAATAGGGCCGGCGGGCGCGCGATCATCAGGGGCCGGAGGGCCACGTGCGCGGGGACGGCGAGCACTCCGCCAAGTCGAAGTCCCGAGTCGAGAGCGGCTGATTGAGCGCGGCTCTGGGTTGGGCCCCCGATTAGCAAATGCTTATTTTGACCGGCCCTTGGGGCAGATCGCCACTTGCAGGGCGGCCGGGGCGCTGCCGCTGGGAGACCTCACAGAGAAGAAATGCAATATTTTGGGCTGAGTCATGCGCAGCGCCCCCGCGCTTGGATGGATGCGGTCTTTTTGCGCGGCCATCGCCAAGCAGCTCTCTCCACAGACCACAACTTGGTAACCCTGGACATCGCGCGCTCCCACGCTGATGCTCCAAAGTCTCGGATGCCCCCGAGAGATAGACATCTGCTCCGGGACCCGGAAGTGCAATCATTGTACGCCGACGCACTTGTAGACGATCGTCAAGGATGCGATTGAATATCCCGACGCTGGCACCCCGTGAGAACAATGGGCGAAAGTAGCTTTAGATGAAGCAGCAGTGGCCCCCGGGAGTCAGGAGGTGCCCGAGCGGCTTTGGGCGCCCGAGCGCACGTTGGGATTAGTTCCATCCAGGGGGCAAGCCCGCAACCGCAGCAACCGCTTGGGAGAGCGCCGCTTTTTTGAACATCTTGTAAGCGCGACGAGACGCCATGGGTGGGTTAGCATATTGCCGCCAGCAACTGGAGGGGCGCGCGGACGCGCTGTCGCCCGCGCATCGCAAACGCGGGAGACTGCAAAATCTGCAGGGGAGACTAGTTGCAAGCCGCGAGCGAGTTGATGCGATGGCAGGTTTTCTGAGACAGGTTCAATGGCGAGTGCGCCCAGTAAACTCGGTGGGCGATGAGCCGTTGGGGCCTTGCCTCTCTGTGGACGGATCTTCTTTCGCGACAAAAGATGCGGGGGCGGCAGTCCGCGAGCTCGAATGGGGAAAGGCGCGGGGGCTGGGCGACATGCCAGCAGAGTTTTGGAAAGCAGCGTCTTGCAATGGACTGCGGAGCTGCGTCGCGCGACTCGGGCAGAGCAGAAAATTCTGGGCGCGTGGCGGCGCGCCAGTATCAGCGCGATGTGCAATGATAAAGGGCTTGTGCGTTTATGCGATAATAACCAGCCAATCAGTTTGTCACGCGTGGCCCGCGAGCTGCTGGCCGCCCCCCCCCCCTCGCCCCGCCCCGATTCCAACGGGCAGGGGCAGCAGACCGGTTGTCGCAGACGCGGCGCGGCTTCCGACGCGGGCGAGGCGCCGCCGACGCAATTCACGAAGGGCGCCGTCTCTCAGAGTTCGCGCGTCGCGCGTGCCAAAAAGATGGCGGCGCCTCGTTCGTCGCCTCTGACTGGGGAACAACATTCGATTCGATCGACGTCGATGCTCTGCTGGCTGCGTTGCGCCGGTTCGGGGCGCCCCCAAATTGCTCGCGCTCATCGGGGACATTTCCGATGGAAGGCTGCTGTGCGTGGCAGAGGGCGCGGCGAAGTCATCTGGGCGAGCGCGGATGTCAGGAATTTCTCAGGGGCGCCCTCTATCACCATTTCTGTTCGTCATGCTGAGGACAATTCTGGTGCGGGACGCTGACAGCAAGCTCAGCGACGAAGAAATATCCGAACTAACTATCGTTGGGAACGACACCTGCTCACTGGGGGGAACCAAGACTGCCTCCAGCATCTCCTAGATCATATTGCTGCAGCTGGAGCTCAAGTGGGACTGGATTTGCGTTGGAACTGTGTGCAGCTCCAAGAGGACAGCTCATCACTGAAAAGGCCAGCCTTTCCTACTTGGGGCTTCATTGTAGCCGGGCGTGGTCTTACAAGGCCGGGAGGTCGACGTTTTGGTTTGCTCTTTTGCCGGGCGTGGTCTTACAAGCCCGGCTGTTCGATGGTTTTTTGTCTTTTGTTTGCGTTGCCCCCGCTTCCGCTTCCAGATGCGTGGCCCCGCGCCTGCCTCAGGGCCGCGCCCAGCCCCTGCAGGCCCCGCCCCACCAGAGCCAGTCCAGCCCCCACGAAGCTCCGGTTTCCCCCAGGGGGTGGGAGGTGCACGGGCAATCCGCAGCTCGCTGGAAACCCTACCCCCAAGCAGGCCCCAAAGGCACCATCAGGAATTGAACCCAAGAAGGTCAGATTATGGGAAGAAATATTCCCCATTTTACTACAATTCGGCACATACAGGGGAAGGAGGGCATATGATTGCCCTATTCTATGGCACGTCCCCTATTCTAGTAGTGGTGGTGGTGGTCGTCGTCGTCGTTGTGGTGGTGGTGGTGGCGGGGGTAGCGGTGGCGTGCGCGGTGGCAGTGCGGCGGCAACGGTGAACGCAGCCGTGAGGGGGGGGTGGGCGGCGGCTGTGGTCGCCGCAGTGTTGGTAGTGGCTTTGCATGGGCGGTGGCAGTGGCGACAACAGCGGCGGCGGCGAGCGCGGCCGCTGTGGGGGGCTGAAAAGGTCTGGGAGCCGCGGCGCTGGGTGCTTCAAACAAGCAGCGGCCGAGGTGGTGGCGGCTGGGCAGCCAGTGGCAGTGGGAGTGATCGTGGTGTGGGCGGCGGTGCCTTTGGCGGGGGCGGCAGCAGCAGCGGTGGGGACAGCGATAGTGGTGGGGCAATGCTGGGCGGGGGCCGGGGGGGGCGGTGGCCGCGGTGATGGTATTGGCTGCGGCGTGCCTGGGGCAGGCGCGTTTGCTTGCTTGCTGGATAGTGGCGGCGGGGCTGGGTCGCGCTGGGGGGGGGGTGGGGGTGCGGCGGGGGGTGGTGGCTGTCGGCGCAGCAGCGGCGGCGGTGGTGGGCCCGGTTGGAAATGCCAGAGGCAGCGGCAGGGTTGGCGGCCGCGGCGGCAGCGGTGGCGGGGGTAGCGGTGGTGTGCGCGGTGGCAGTGCGGCGGCAACGGTGAGCGCAGCCGTGAGGGGGGGGGGGGGGGCGGCTGTGGTCGCCGCAGTGTTGGTAGTGGCTTTGCATGGGCGGTGGCAGTGGCGACAACAGCGGCTGCGGCGAGCGCGGCCGCTGTGGGGGCTGAAAAGGTACTGGGAGCCGCGGCGCTGGGTGCTTCAAACAAGCGGCGGCCGAGGTGGTGGCGGCTGGGCAGCCAGTGGCAGTGGGAGCGATCGCGGTGTGGGCGGCGGTGCCTTTGGTGGGGGCGGCAACAGCAGCGGCGGGGACAGCGATAGTGGTGGGGCAATGCTGGGCGGGGGGCGGGAGGGGGGGGGGCGGTGGCCGCGGTGATGGTATTGGCTGCGGCGTGCCTGGGGCAGGCGCGTTTGCTTGCTTGCTGGATAGTGGCGGTGGATGGCTGGGTCGCGCTGGGGTGGGGGTGGGGGGGTGGTGGCTGTCGGCGCAGCAGCAGCGGCGGTGGTGGGCCTGGTTGGCAATGCCAGAGGCAGCGGCAGGGTTGGCTTGGCGGCCGCGGCGGCAGCGGTGGCGGTGGCTTTCGCAATGGGGGCGGTGGCAATTCTAAATTTCAGAATTCCTGAGTATGCAAAGCTCTAAATACATGTAAACGGCCTTACTTGCACAGAATCCTTTCTACAGTGATTTCCCCCGCAATGACAATGGCATCGCTAGAACACATCCCTTCATGTAGGCTGCTCAGGCCCCACCAGGAATTGAACCCAAGAAGGTCAGATTGTGAGAACATGGATGCCCCATTTCACTACATTAACATTATTTTATCTGGGAGGGTTGGGCATACTTCGCCTGCTCCATTCCACTGAATTGTGTCATTTCACTACATTACCAGCAGATTCCGAGAAACAGGCTCCCGGCAAATTCCCAGGAGTGAAGGCCATGAGGCCCTAAGCGCCCTGGCGCCATCGTCCCAGGGCCTCCTCGCAAGCCTCAAATCCGCCAAGGCCTTGGCTCTATGGAGGCTACAGGGGCGCAGACGCCCCAATCCCCTCGACAGTTTCCCCCCGGGGCAATCGAACTGCGGGCGCGAAAAAAAAATGCCCGCAATTTTCAAGGAGATTAGCTCTGCGGGCCGGAAAAAAAAGTGCCCGCGCCCCCCTGCCACCTCTGGGCAATCGAAATGCGGGCAGGAAAAAAACTGCCCGCAGTTTTTCAACGAGATTAGCTCTGCGGGCCGGAAAAAAATGCCCGCCCCCCTTCGAAGTGCGGGCAGACAAAAAAATGCCCGCAGTTTTTCAAGGAGATTAGCTCAAGGGGCCAGAAAAATTTTCCGAATATATGTTTTTCCAACTGAGACCTGCAAGAAGTACTACTGGGATTTGAACCTGTGAAGTGCAGATTCTGTCCTAACGCCTTATCGGTCAGGCCATGCAGTCGAGAAGATCTGATCGCCCCGCCGATATCGTTCATTTTGTGGCCCTGGCCCCTGTGGAGGCGACCCCTGCCTCCACAGAAGGCGCGCCCGTGCGAGCCAGCCCGGGATGGCTGGGGGCAGCGCTGCTGGGGGCACCGCTGCTGCGGGCGCCCCTCGCCTGGGGCTGCGCGAGGGCTCGCAGGCCCGTGTGTTTGGCCTCCGTCGTTCAGGATGGCGCTCTCGCCCCAGCGCGGGCCCCTTTCTCCCGCGCCCATCCGCCCGCCACCACCGCGCCGCACCACCGCCACCACCACCACCACCACCACCACCACCACCATCACAACCACCACCAGCACCAGCACCACCACCAGCACGAGCACAGCACCAGCACCAGCACCAGCACCAGCACCAGCACCACCACAACCACGCACACACGCACGCCCGCCCGCACGCACGTGCACCACCACCCACCACGCACGCGCGCGCGGAGCCGCAGGTCCGCTACGACACGCGTCCGCGGATAGAGAAAATCAGCGCCATGGTAAGGGATGGGAGGGAGGGGTAGGACGTCAGATATGACGCGAGCCCACCTAGCTTGTCCCCCTCCCCCTCCTCCTCCTCCGCCTCCTCCTCCCCCTCCGCCTCCTGCTTCCTCCTTTTCCTCGCATTCATATTCCTGCTCCTGCTCCTGCTCCTGCTCCTGCTCCTGCTCCTCCTCCTCCTCCTCCTCCTCCTCCTCCTCCTCCTGCTCCGAATATCATCTTCCTCCTCTACCTCTCGCTCCTCCACCGCCTCTTCCTCCTCGCCCTCCTCCTCCTCCTGCTCCGCCTCCCGTTTCCCCCCTTTCCTCCTGTTCCCCTTCCTTTTCCTCATCCTTTTCCTGCTCCTCCTCCTCCTCCTCCACCTCCTCCTTTTCCTCCGCCTCCTCATCGTCATCCTCCTCCTCCTCCTCCTTGGCCTCCTGCTTCCCCCGTTCCTCGCATTCCTCTTCCTCCTCCTCCTCCTCCTCCTCCTCCCCCTCGTTCTCCTCCTCCTCCTCCTCCTCCTCATCCCCCTCCTCACGCGCAACGATGCTGAGCGGAACCCCTCTGTGGCTTCCAGAAAAGCCTGGGCGACCGAGAAGGGCCAGAGGAACAACCGCGGAAGGACGACTGCAACATCGAGCCCCTTCCGAATCCAACGCGTTCCTCCTTTCAGCGTCTAGGCTGCGCGCACCCCTCAAGTAAAAATGCCGATTCACTGCGCGGCCCCGCCGATGCACCCGGCGCTCCCCGGGAAAGGCTTGACAGCGCGCAAAAAAAGAGTTGTCCCCACGCTGTCGTCTCCGCTCCCCCCCCCCCGCCCCCCGTCTGCGCGGGGCCCAATGGGGCGCCCTGCACGTTGCCAAGTATCGCCTTCTGGAATGAGCCCTGACATGTTTTCTTTGCTGGGAAGAACCCGGCGGGGGCTCCTGCAAGGGGCCAGCCCAATAGGGCCACCTGTGAATGGAGCCCGTCTATGCCTTCTGCATGGGCCCCGCCAAGGCCTGTGGATAGGGCCGACCATGGCCTCGTGCGAGGAGCCCAGGAAAGCCTGCTGCAAGGGGCCAAGGACGCCCCGTGCACAGCATGCCTCAAGGTCCTTGAAGGCTCCGAGGGTTCTAGCAGCTTCGGCCCCAGATTCTTTGGGAAGCCGCGGGGGCAGCGAGGCCCTGGCGCCTGGGGCCCTGGGGGCCGTGGGAGCGCCCAGGCGCCCCGAGCCCTGGAAGACCCTGGCCTCTAGTAGTAGTAGTAGTCGTGATTGCCCTGCATTCCTTTGCACTGCGTAAAATTGCTGGGCGATGCTGCGCGATCCTTTGCATCGCACAGCCGTCTTGACGATCGCCATCACCGTCGCTTTGCCGTGCCCATTTTGGCTCAGGGTTCGCGCAGTGGGGGGGCCTCTTCCCACTTGCGCTCTCGGTAATCTCGCAAGCTGTGCTCTTGGCCCTCATGTCTGGCCACCAGCGCGCTCGGGAGAGTTCAGCGGCCTCGGGGGCCTCGCTGGCTTGCCCGGGATGCCGACGCCCGCTCCGCGCAGTGCGGACCCTCGCCCGGGAGACCTGCGGCAAGTGCCACGAGAGGGCCATGGGCGGCTGGCTGCAGCACTGCGAGCCCTGCGGGGCGCTGATGTGCCACAGTTGCGCGGCCGCCGCCGCGGGTGCTGCCGCCGCCGCGCCGCCCGGCGCCGCGCCCGTGGCCAGCGACAGCGACAGCCCGTTGCTGCCGCTGGCGGTGCAGGAGGCCATCGACATGGCCGAGGACCCTACGCCCCAAGCAAGCACGGAGGACGAGGCGGCGGATGACCTGGAGGGCCGGCCGTCGGCCGTGGACGTGGCGGCGGCGGCCGCCGCCGTGGCGGAGGCCGATCCGATGGCTGACCTCTTCGGCGACTTCAGCTCCTCGGACGACCCGGACGCAGCGCCGCCGAGCGCGGCGGCGCCGAAGGGCAAAGCCAAGGCGAAGGCCAAGGGGAAGGCCACGGCCAAGAGCCAGGGCGAGGCCAAGGCCAGGGCCAAGGGCCAGGCGGCTCCTGGCCCGCCGCATCGGGGGCTGCTCGGCCGCGGCGTCCGCCGCGCCGAGAAGTGTCGAGCCCGCGGGGCTGCGAGCGGGCGGAGGCCTGTGGAGCGGCCGGCGGGCGGGGGCGCCGCCGTCGAGGACTCGGGCGTCGAGTTCGGCCCGACCGCTCGCGAGGAGGCAGCGGCGGGGGAAGCGGCGGCCAGCCCCGACGGCGACGGTAGCGGCGACGACGCCATGGCTGACCTTGCCAGCGCGTGGGCGGAGGCCGCCGCCGAGTTGCAATTGCCTCGTCGAGGCGGCCAGGGCGGCTGGCGGGGGGGCCGCAAGCGGCGGGTGGCGCCCGTGGGGGACGAGGCCGAAGGGCTGGAGGACGCGGAGGAGCCCGCCGCTCCCCACCCAGACGACGCCATCCCCTTCGAGGTGGTGGCGTTGCTGGACGCGGCAGACGCGGATGTGCCCGAGCCGCGGCGGGGCGCGGTGGCGCGCGCCCGCGCGTCCATCGGACCCCGCCGGCTCATGCGCCCGTACGCGGCCAAAGTGCCGCACGGCAGGCCGACGGCCGCGGGCCGAGTGCGCCGCGGGCATTTGGCGCGGGCGGGGAAGGCTGGCCGCCCCCTCTGCGCGCAGGTCCTCTCGGACATGGTCGACGGCCGGGACGTCGTGGCCGTCCTGGAGGACTGCGGCATCCTCCCGCAGAGGGCCGCGTGCGATGCGCCGGGTTGTGGCGCGCCGGGCGCCGCGCAGGACGTGCGCGTCTTGGAGAGCGAGCACGCGGCCCGTTCAGCCCAGAGGGGCGCGGGGCAGAGGGCCGCGCTGCACAGAGGGCCGCAGGCCGTGCGCATCGGGGGGCGCGAGGTCGCCGTGCGGAAGGAGACGGCGTACTACCGGTGCGGGCGTTGCGGGGGCAAGCGCGCCGTTGGGCTGGACGCCGAGATCTGGTGCGGGAAGTATTCCCTGCGCCAGAACGCGTCGCTCTTCTGCCGGTGGTCCAAGAGCTTGGAGCCGTCGACGGAGGAGCTGGCTCTGGACTGCTGGCTCGACCACAAGCGCCTTGTGGAGGGCTGGGTCCAGGGCGCCCGGGCCACCGTTGCCGAGTACCAGCTCTGGCAAAACTGCACCGAGCAGCTGGGCGGGCCGGGCGCGGAGGTCGAGATCGACGAGGTCTGCTTCCGCGCCCGCTGGGCCGAGGGCGCCGATGGCACATGGGGCCGCGAGTGGCACCGGTACATCGCGGCCCACGAGCGCCACGGCGGCAAGTTGGTCCTGATGGCGCTCCCCCCCAGGTACGCCTCGGGCCAGGGCCAGGGAGGTGGCGGGGCTCTCTCGCACGAGGAGCTCCACGACTTCATCCTCCGGCCGAAGTCCGGCGGCCCGCCCCTGCTGCGCCCTGGGACCATGGTGCACACTGACGGCGCGAAGGCGTACCGGAACCTGGATTGGCGGACGGCGCACGACGCGCCGCTTCCGGCTTCCGAGGAGGACGTCGTGGGGGCCGCCAACCTCTGTCCCGGGGAGTGGAGGCGGGAGACCTTCCGGGAGTGCTTGGCGCGGTGCGCGGCGGAGCGGCGGGACTGGCGGGACCGCCGGGAGGAGTGGGCGGCGAAGTACCACCATCTGCGCCTCTGCCACACTTCCGTGTGCCACTCGCGCAAGGTGGCGGGGCGCGTGGAGCGGGAGTTCACCGCCATGCGACTCGTCCACGTCCACCCAGACGACGTGTCGGCTGTCGAGGAGGTGGACCCGCGCGCGGGGCAGTGGGGCGGCCCTGAGTGGACGTGGCGCGTAGGGGGCACGCAGACCGTCGACGGGCATTGGCGGAACCTGCGGCGGGGCGGCTCCCACCGCGGCGTCAACACGTCCCTGACTCAGGCGGTGGAGCAGGCCGTGCTGGTGCACCAGTGGGCTTGCCGCGCCACGCCGTCCGCCAACATGCTCACGCACCTGGGCAAGACGCTGGCCGCGTTGCGGGCGCAGCGGGCCGCCGATCTCTCCCTGCAGGGTCCGTCCCCGTCAGAGGTGCCCGCGGGCAGCCCCTGGGCCCGGCGGGACGCAGCCCTCGCCAAGGCGGCCCGCAGGGAGGCCGTTCGCGAGAGGGCCAGGGCGAAGGCCAAGAGGGCTGCCGGCGCCTCCGCCGCGGCGCGCCGGCGGGGCGGCCCCGGGGCCGCGCCGGGCCTCGGGCCGCGGCGCCCAGGCCCGCGGGGGCGGCGGAGGCCGCCAGCGACGGGCGCAGAGCGGACGGCCAAGCCTTCAAGAGGCTCCGGCGCGGCCCCTCGGCCCCAGGCATTCGGCTGGGCTTGCCGCTGGGCGCCCCCGACCCGCGGCTCGACCCTGCCAGGCGCTGGCGGAGCCGCTTCCAGGACGTGGCTGACGAGGAGCGCGCCGAGCGCGCGGCGGAGCAGCGCGCGGCGGAGCCGCCCGCTCCACCGAGCCCGCGGCCGCCCCAGCATCCGCCTTTCCAACGCGGGGACTTAACGGTTCTCGGCGGCCGCGTCCCTCCCCAATGGAGGGGGGTTCGCCTCAGCTAGTTCTTCGTGTCGCTTTCGCGCGCAGCATTCTCTGCCCACATCTCTGTTCGGGCCCGCAACAACTGCGGGCAATTCAGCTCCGGTGCTGCATTTGCAATATGTGCCATTGAGCTTGCTCGTGATGTGTGTGTGTGTGTGTCTCTGCGTGCGTGTGACAGGAAATTATTGAACCTCACTGAACACGTGTCGTGTGCGTGTGTGTGCGTATGTGACTGTGCATGTGTGTTGTTTCAATTTTGTCTGCATCTGCCTTTTAAGCTTTAATCTTAAACATAAAAACATGCCCAGTCGATGATCCGCCGATGATAAGCGTAGCCTGGGACAAGACGCATTCAGCTGATGTATGAGGGCACAAACAACACAAATAATCGGCTACGCTTTCAATCGGCGGTAGGGATCCGGGGGCGCCAGCATGCATCGTAGCACCAGCCGCCCTGGGTCTGGGTCCGGGGTATAGATCCTGGGTCCCCGGCGCGGCTCCGGCGCACGGCCGGGCGCCTCCACGAGCGGGGCGCCCGGACCGACATCGGGGCCCAGATGCGCGGGGCGGCACGAGTCGAAGCGCCAGGGAGGGGTGGGATATTGAAACCAGGTATGTCTTCAAGCGTTCGTGGGGATGCGAAGGGATTGCGGCGTTTTCGCGATGCCGCCCCAAACGGGGTGCGATGCATAGCGGCTCCTGAGGATGCAGGGCCTCTTCCTTATCTTCACCTATCCTCGCCTTTTTCCTGGATCCTCACATTCCCCGTGCCTCATCCCTTCTCGTGCATGACCGTTGGCCCGGGCTTGCAGTTTCTGATGTCGTGCTTCGTGGTAATCGAAAGTAAGCAACAAGGAGTACTCGCCCGGGCCATCGGCGGACCTCCACCCGCCCCGACCGCCTCTGTGCAAGGCGGTCGCGGGGGTTACCGCGGGTGGGACTGGGGGCTAGTCGGAGCGCGATTTTTTGTCATTGCTTCAGTGCATGTCTCTTCCGTCCTCTTCCGCGCTCCGGCTGGCGTGGGTGGTCCTCCAATGGGCCCCCAGTAATTCGGCGGCGTGTCCCGCGGGGCTTGGCGGGGCGCCAAAGTGCGCCCCTCCTTGCCGTGGCAGACCACGTGGCAGGCCGCGCCCTCCCCTTTTCTCCGTTCTCTGTCCCATCTGATTCTGCGTGCGTATGGGTTTGTGTGGGCGTGAGTTTGTGTGTGCGTGTGTGTGTGTGTGTGCATGTGTGATGGTGTTTTTTCCCGCAGCACCGCGAGCATGTTTCACTCTGTCTTGTCTTCTGACGCCCTTTTCCTCACTCTCGCGCTCCCGAGAACCCCCCCCTCCCTCCGCCGCCGCAAGTTCCCCTCGCGCGGCTGGGGCGGGGCAGGCAGGTGCCTGCCCCAGGCATGCCTTCGCGGCGAAGCCCCATCCCGCCTGGGTCGAGCGGGGCAGGCAGGGCCTGCCCCAGGCACGCGGCCGGCTCCTCCCCCGCCCCCCACCCACGCTGCCCCCCGTGCGCTCCTGTCCACCCGTCTTCCTAGATTGGCTCGTGCCTTTCCGTGCCTCTGAAACTCGCTGGTATTTTTCCTACCTAGGTCTTGCTGCCGTACGAGCCAAGCCTATTGATTGAACGCCCTCACGCTCCTGCCTCCCCCCAAAAGGAAGGCATCAGTTCCCCAGTGCGATGCAAACAGTAGGACCGCAAGCCACGGTGCAATGTGCACAACGCAACGCGCCAGACAAACACCAGTGCACAGCAAGAAGGACGTGCCCACATAATTAGGCACGGAAGCCCCTTGCGGCACGAACGCCCCTTCAGGTCTCAGCAAGGCTTACCATTGCTTAGCAGAACTCAGCAGTGCCTAGCAGGGCTTAGCGGGGCTTTGCAGAGCTGAGCAGGGCCTATCACGGCGTAGCATGGCTTAGCAGTGCGTAGCAGGGCCTAGCACGCCCTAGCAGGGTTTAGACAGGGCTGAACACGGGTTAGCAGGGCTTAGCAGTGCTGAGCAGGATTAGCACTACTACTACTACTACTACTACTACTACTACTACTACTACTACTACTACTACTACTACTACCACTACCACTACTACTACTACTACTACTACTACTACTACTACTACTACTACTACTACTACTACTGCTACTACTACTACTACTACTACTACCGCTACTATTACTACTACTATTACTACTACTACTACTACTACTACTACCACTACTACTACTACTACTACTACTACTACGACTTCTACTGCGACCACCACTATTACCGCCAATGCTACTACTACTACTACTACTACTACTACTACTAGTACTAGCACCACTACTACTACTACTACTACTCCTACTACTACTACTACGACCACGACTACGACTACTACTACGACTACGACTGCGAGTCCTACTCCTCCTCCTCCTCCTCCTCCTCCTCCTCCTCCTACTACCACTACTACTACACTACTACTACTACTACTACTACTACTACTACCACTACTACTACTACTACTACTACTACTATTACTACTGCTGCTACTACTGCCACTACTACTACTGCTACTACTACTACTACTACTACTACTACTACTACTACGACTACGACTGCGACTACGACTACGACTACGACTACGACTGCGCGGCCCCAACGGCGGCCGCGATCCCCGCCGCCGCCGCTGCCGCCAACGCCACCACCGCCAACGCCGCCGCCCATGCGGCACCCCTACCACACGCGGCGACAAAATACCGCTGCCCCCACCAATGCGGCCACCACCGCAGCCCGCCACTGCTGCCGCCAACACGGACACGCATGCCACAACACACCACCCACACCGCAACCAGGCTGTGACGAGTACAATGGTACGCCCCCCGTGTGCAATGGTGGCTCCCTCCCCACCAACCCGAGGAAGGGGTTTTTTTGGAGGACATGAATATGGTTATTCCCTCAATCTCGGACGTGGCTGTCCGCAGGTTCTCCAGGGTTCAGCGCGCCACTCCGCGCAGCCCCCAACCTCGGCAGGGCTTCGGTGAAATTGTGGAGAATAGGGCCAGAAAACCCCCCTGAGACTCCCAAAATGTAGTGATATTGCAACTGCAATGGAAATCACTGTAGAAAGAATCCTGTGCAAGTAAAGCGGTTCAATGTCATTAGGGGATTTGCACACGCCTGCAACGAGGAATTTAGGCGCATGAGCGCCGTGCTGGGGCGCCCTGCGCAGAGCCAAGAAATCCCAATTTGCGATCCTCTGTTGTGATGGTGGCCTTGAGGCCCCCACAAGCACGGCCGCCGCGGCTGCCGCTGCCACTGCCACTACTGCGAATGGTGGTGGTGGTGGTGGTGGTGGCGGTGGTGCGGCGCGCCACAGCCACTACCACCGCCGCGGCCAGCGCCCTTCGCCCCAAATACCAATTCCACCCTACCACCATCGCCGCCGCCGCCGCTGCTTCACCGCTGCCGCGGCCACGCCCCCCACTATCCGCCCCATACGCCGCTGCCACCAACGCCGCAGCCGCCCCCAGTGCCACTGGCTGCCCTGCCGCCACGGGCCCTGCCGCTGCCGCTGCCACTAGTTCGAGGCACCCAGCGCCCCAGCGCTCGCAGCACCAACGCCGCAGCCCCCAGAACCTCTTCAACGGAGGCCAAACACCGATCCGAAAATGAGGCCCGCGCCGCAGTGGGAGCACGAGTTTAGTTTAGTTAGTTTCGTTTCGCTTAGTTTCG